AGGTGATCTTCCCATGGCGCGGTGGCCGGTCGCCCTCCGCCACCTCCACGTAGGCTGTGAACAGCACGTGCGAGCGGCTGCTGTCGGCGTTCAGCAGGTGCCCGGCCCGCTTGCGCCGCTGCTGGCCCTCCTGCAGCACCAGCTGCAAGTCGTCGGCGTTGAGGCACTCTACAACCATCAAGTCCTCTACAAAGAAACTGTTGGCGTCCCGAGACCAGCGGCATTTAAGCCCCTCGTTGCCGCTCAGCAGGTCGTTGATGTGCTCGTTGAATAGCTCCACGTAAGACGCCCGCAGTGTGATAGTCCTCGAGTCGTTGCCGTCTGCAGACATGAGCCGATCCCGCACTGCTGCTATGTACCGCGCAGCAGCAAACTGAATGCCGTCCTCTGCCCCAACGTCAGTCTCCAGATCTGTGCGGCCGCTCATGGTGTACGTCTTGCCACTGCCTGTTTGCCCAAAGCACATTACAGTGGCGGCTCTCCCTTCAAACACCGCTTCACACATCTCTGCGATGCCAACTACACCAAAGACTTCCTCTTGACTTGNCATTACAGTGGCGGCTCTCCCTTCAAACACCGCTTCACACATCTCTGCGATGCCAACTACACCAAAGACTTCCTCTTGACTTGTCTCTGGCCCCAGACAGTAGTCCATGTCAAACGTCTGCAGCTGGCTTTGGGTGGAGCGGTTGATGCGTGTGACAAGCTGCACTTTTGTCGCGTCCGGCAGTACCGTGATGCTCGACTCCTCACCGCGCTCCTTCTCCGCTGGAAGGAGCGGCCGCACGCGCAGGGCAACACTCACCTGCTCCATGCTCCTTCCCCAGACGCCGGGCCACACCGTTTCTGCAATGCGTGATACGCTTGTGAAGGGGCAAGGAGAGAAGGCGCTGCGACCCTTACAAACAGGAATGAAAATAAGAAAGTCAAGAGGGAAAATATGTCAAGAGCAGCCCGGCCCATGTGTACAGAGATATCTGAATACCCCATGAGTTGGTAACCCAGCCACAGTCGAACACTTTCTTATGGTTTTTTTGTTTTTGTTTTCGTTGCAAACAGCAGCACGTAGCTGCTAGCCCTCACGCCACGACGGGCGCGCTGATAAAACTACGTCTCCCCTGCTCCAGGCGGAGGGGAGCTGCTGTTGTTCGCATACCCGTCGCCCCCCCCCCTCCCCTCTCCCATCGTACGCCATGGCGGGTATCAACGGCAGCAGAGGAACCATGGAATATAGCAGGCGCCGTGCGTGGCCGTCGTCGCGCCGCTCTCCACCTCCCGCCCTCTCCCCAATCACCACCACAGTTGTAGGACCCAGTGTCGCCACGCAAAGCCACCAACGCTCTCACGCGTGGCAGTCGCACTCACAGCGTAGAAAGCAGCGCCGCAATGGTGTGCCACAACAGCGCTCTCCCACCCCCAACCCAGTGGTATTGGCGCAGCGCATCGCGTACGCCCAGCGCAGTTGCGCAACCAGATGTGCGGTCGGAGTTCACCCCGGAGGTATTCGCAGCCCCCCCCCCCGCCACACGCCACAACAATAGCAGCAACAAAAGCACAAGTGTGGGCACCACAAACCCTCCGGAGAGCCGCCACACGCCGTCCAGTCTCTCATTATCACCTATGTGGGCTTGTAGGCATCAGACTCCGTGGCAAAATAGCAAGCGCAGCCTTCTCAGTGTGCGTGTCGGCAGGAACAGAAACGCTTTGTGTGAGCGCGCAAAGGGTCTGTGCGCATCCTTTCCTTCGCTGCCGGGTTGAGGGCCCACTCCAGCGCAAACAGGAAACAAAAACAACGAGAGGTGAAGCAGAAGAAATGTGTCTCTCGCTCTCAAGATTACGTCGCCCCACTCGACGACAAGACGCCCCACCTCACTCTGCGTCAGTATTGGCCCTTTCGTCCTCTCTCTCTCTCCATCTCTCTCTCTCCATCTCTCTCTCTCCATCTCTCTCTCTCCATCTCTCTCACTCTGTCTCTCTGTCTCGCGCGCTCATGCAATCTCACCCACTCACTCATCCCGCATCCGCATAGAGCTGCGACGCAGAAAAAAAAAAAGAAACGCTTCTCTACATGTCAGGCGCCAGGCGCGGTCGTCCCGCCACCCGCGCGCCCCTCACGCCGGCTGCGGGGAGGTGCCGGCACCCAACGATTTCTCCAGGACAAAGATGCGTCGCAGAATCTGCCGCTGTCGCTGCGCCAGGTCGGCCTCGAGGCCTCCGTAGGTGTCCTCCACCGCCTTCTTGGCGCCCTCGTTCTCGATGAGAATCTGCATCTCCCTCTCAGTTTGCTCCGTCTTTCGCCAGAGCTCCTCTTTGGCCACAGCCTCGTTGTATTCGTTTATCATAGCCTCCAACTCCTCCGTGCGTTGCGCACGCACCTCCTTCAGTGTTGTGGGCACCGCGTCCTGTGGTGTCTTTTCCACCGCAACAGCAACACGCAGCGGTGGGGCGGGCATGGGCGCCTCAATGAAAAACTCAAACCCCTTTGGAGCTGTGGTATCTTGCGGGTGGTTGGCAACATGCGCATACAGCGCCGCATGCTGAATGATGCCGCGAAGAAGATAGGTGCAAAGTGGCCCAACGTCCTCCTTCGACAAATAGATATTTTCGCGAGGCAGTGCAGCAACATTTTCCGCCTCTTCCGCCGCTGCCTTCTCCGCCACCCGAGCGCCCTTCTTGGTCGCCGACCTCGGTGGTGGCTGTGACTCGGGCGCGCCCTCATCGGCGGGTGGCGCCTGTCTCCACTTCCACTCCTCCTCTATTTCCGCCGCAACGAAGTCCGACAGTTCGCGCCGCATCTCCTCCGTGCTGCAGCCGCCCTCCACCAGGCGCTGAAAGTGCGCTATCCACTTGATCACATGGACGGTCTTGCAAGGTCCGTATTTTTGGCGTGCGCAGAAACGAAGAAGGTCGAGCCGCGAGTCGACAGCGATCTGTTGCTTGAGGTCCGCCAGGTAGCCCTCGGCACCGAATGCCATGGCTACCAGTGTAACGAGCGACGCTTCATCGTTTTCAGCAACCAGCTGGAGAAGCTGCTCAATGAACTTCTCATCCTGAAACGAGGGCGACTGGCCCGGTACATTCGTGGTCAAGCTCTCTGGCCTGCCTCGCGGTGGCATCCCTCTTAGTTGACACCACGGAGAAGTATAAACGAAGAAACATGGCGGAGAGAAAGCAGCTGGTACGAACCCGTCCACTCTCGCAGAATCCCTGCGGGAAGGCAATCCCCACAAACAGGCATCACGTCACAAGCACCATGGTAACGTTACAAAACTGTGCAGCAAACTGAGAAGCAAGTCCAGGTGTCCTTTAAAAGAGAACAAAAAAAAAAAGATATGCGGTCGACGCATTCTGGCATGGCATTACACGTTTGCGCAGCAGCGCAGCCCCGCCGCAATGCAAAGATTCGCGCCCGACCTTTTTTTTTGTCCACCTTCTCTCTTCACCCTGTATAGCAAAGCACTGCTCTCTACTGTTTTGGTTGCATCTAAGGACGAAAAAAAAAAAACGNCGTGCTCTAAGAAACCCGTGAATCCTCTAGTGCGGACTTCATCCGCCGTGCGTCCGATAGTTTTTCAAAGCCAAAGACAATTTGCGAAGGCCTCGTCGAAGTCCGCACTATCGCCCAGTGTGCGCCGGCGTCCTGCGCATCCCCACTCACGACACGGACGTCCTTTATGGAGAGGAGCGGGACACGCATCTTCTGAAAATCGCCGTTAGGTGTTTGCTGATACCATCTCAGTGCGTCGTGATGCGGGTCTGCATCCACAACGGAGTGCAGGTCAGTCTTGAATGTTCCAATCAGCGACCACGATGGCTGAAAGCACCTGCGCCGTGGGGCCTTCTCAAAACTCGCCGACGCGCCCTCAAAAAGATCCTCACTCACTGGGATCGCCGCGAGGCCCTTGAACATCGTTGGGCAGCTCCCACTGGCACTAGCCTCACCCATGGCTGGCCGCTTCTCTGTGCGATGCCGCTTCAACTCCACTGAAGAGGAATTCGACGACTCAGAGAGAGAGCGCTTGCGTGGCCCGTGGGATTGAGCGGCCGCTGCGCGCCGTGGCGGCTCAGCGCGCACGGCCTCAGCCACACGAGCCGGCCGACGCAGCAGAACGGTGGATCCCACGGCGGCGTCCTCTGCCTCACGCAACACCCCGTGCAGTGCCGGTGAGAGAGAGGAAGGGCGCAAGACCGGCACTGCCTTCATCCGTGGAACCATTCTCTTGAAGTTCTCTCCTTCCCACACACACTCTATATCTATATATATGCTCACCACCTTGACCAGAGATGAAGGGAGAAAGCGCAACTGACGCCAGCAGCGCCCCAATACCGCCGCGAGGCCTGCACGGCACCCGGCTAAAGCAAAGGCGCAGGGGTATGTGTTCACGTTGGGGTCCAAGGGAATAGAATGTGCGGACGAAATGCACTCAGCCTTCTATTTCCCACAACTCCCCCCAGCCCGCCAAACGAAGTTATACCAAGGCAGAAGGAATGCCATAGAAGAGCAGATCATTCATCCCCCCATTCCAAGTAAACGTGAAACGAGCCCGAAAAACCCACAAAAAAAACTGCTGCTCAGCTCCGCACGCAGATGGCACCACGCGAGTGCGCGTGACGCTGAGGCTCTGCGAAGGAGCCGGTCGCATACACACCCACCAATCATACGCCACACCACGCGGCTGCCGGTGTGTCATATCGGTGCTTTCCTGCAGCGTATTTTATCCCCTGAGAAAAGTTTTCTTAGACCCGTTTGCCATTGGAAGACAATGGCCCCTTCAAAGGGACAAGATTTTGTTTGCAAAGGAATTTATAAACCCACATCATCGGAAGGCAAAGGGAAAAACTAGCAGCAAGGTACACGCATGGGAACAAATGTCACCTCCGTAGTACGGCTGTGCCTCTCATTCACCATTGTGCGGAGTATTGTTGGCCCCCACCTCTCGTTTCGCTGCCGCTCCTGCAGACATGGTCATATTTCCTTCATTGACGAACGGTGCCCCGAGTTCGGGGACATTGGGTGAGCGGCTGTAGAAAAGGGTGCTGTGCATTGCCACGCGGCTGCCTGGGTCCATAATACTCCTCCCGCCCAGGTAGAACTGAGATATGTCACGCGGACCACTGCTGGGTGTGACATCATGCTGCAAGCCTTCTAGAGGAGACCCCACACCAGCCTAGAGAGCGCTGAGACCCATATATGTGGGGAATTCATCGCCTTTCGCTGCTGTACGAGAGTCCCATGGGACTTCAGCAGCTCGGAGTCATCCGGGCCCACGCCCAACACTGCGCACCAGTCAGGCTTCAGAAGATCCTTGATCGACGCCCTCGCCCAAGCGCATCCACCCCTCTCCATTGAAAACAGGAAAATGGTCTGGCCTTGACTGAACCAATAGCGTCTAAGCTATAAAGGCAAACCGACTTCTTTTCGAACATGAAGAAGTCTCCTGTCCCCGAGCCGCACAGCAGTTGAAGGCTTCGGACGTAAGTATTATCCGCGCTTTCATTTTGAGAATCCCGCTCTGTCTGCACCCCCTTTAGCCGCAACGGTCACCTTGCCATGGAAGAGGGAGGAAGATCACGGCAGAGCCCTGTGGTGTCTTCCTGCGGCTCGCAGGATTTACACACAGACTCCATATTGCAATCCCACCTGTTCTTGTTTCTGTCAATTGTGTCTCGCAGGCGAGCACAGGCAGACAGACACAGAGGAAACGCCTTTGTCGATTCATAGCCGATGATCCGTCACATGCATTCACTTCTCCAACCTCATTGGTGCTTCACTCTGCGTGCGTAAGTGAAGATGCTCTATGCGCTTCCTATCTCACCCCTACCGGGTGCGTCGAGAGAGAACGCCTCTTCCTGCGTCACGGCGGCACATGTGAAAAAAAGGGGCATTAGGGGGGAATCGCGTACCAACAGACACGCACACATCAAATGTTGTGTAGGAGTGGCATTCAGAGACAAAAGTGATGGAAAGAAGAGGAAAGTGGGCGATGACTCTATAAACGGCCCCGCGGTGCCACCACGCGCCTTGTTCTCACTCTCTCTCTCTCTCTCTCTCTCTCCCTCTNTATCAGTTTTGTTCTTCATTCGCACCCCCTCGCTGCTACGCGGCAGGGGCATAGCTGGTGAGGAACTCTGCCTCCTCCACCGGTTGCGGTGCCGGCCCTTTATGCGCCATGCAGAACTGCTCCATTTCGTGCAACAGCTGCCTGAACACACCGTCGGCTTCCGCTTCCGCTTCTGCTACTGCTGATACCTCACTCTCGCCACCTTTGGCCTCTGCGTCCAGCAGCCACGCGGCGAAGCTCGACTCCTCCGCGACGACCCCCGGATCGAGGAGCGGGGGCTGGCTCCCACGCTGCAGCCGCACCACAAGCCCGCGGCACGGCGTGCAGTACATGACCTGCGCCACAGCCCTCCACGGGATCGTGCAGTCAACAGTAACGCGCCGCTTCCCTCGCACAGCACCCTCCATCGCCCACTTCAAGTGTGTGTGTGTAAAACTCAGCGTGTGGGGCCGCGATGCGGCGCTGTTGTTGCCTACTCGCTTGGCCCTGCCGGTCGAACGCCGCGGCTGCGTGGGCGTGGGCGAAGCGGGCGGCACGACAAAACTCAGTGCACCGACGCGCACCGCAGAGAACACAACAGCAGAGGGGGGCGGCGCCGATGCGGCACTCCTCGCTCGCAGCACCACTTCTGCCGCGATGGTACCGCTGCGCCTCGTCGATGAGTCCATGTCGTGTGGGGCGCTGGCGGCTTCGTCATCCTTCTCGTCTTTGTCTTCGCTGCTGTTGCGTCGCAGCACCTCGCGCGCGGCGGGCGTTTGCGGCGACTCCCCCCGCAGTGGAAGTCCTTCCTGCTGCTGCTGCTGCTGCTGCCGGTGGTGCTCTTGGTGCGCTTCGTCCCAGCGCTTCATCACCGTTGGCGGAGGCGAGACAACCGCCGCGGACGTATGACTCGCAGACGCTGGCGACACCGCACGCGGCTGCTCCTGCTGCAGCGAGCGACTCGCCGTCTGCAGGAGCGCCAGTGTCAGCCGCTTCTCCTCCGCCTCGGCGAACTCCACGTGAGGGAACACCGGGGGCACTGCCTCGAACCCGAACTCTTCACCGCTGCTGCCGTGGTGGTTGCCGCCGTCGTCGTCGTCGTTGAGGGCGACGCGCCACGTTACGATCTCCGGCGCGTCTGCCACAGCTTCCGCTGGCATCGACGCATTGGTCGGGATGTCACGCATCCCGCCGAGCACCACCGCATCGCCGTGGCGCAGCGGCGTGGCGACGCCCTCGCCAACACGTACACCGTTGACGAACGTTCCGTTGCTACTGCCCACGTCGACGACGCACAGTTCCAGCCGCGCCTGCTGCTGCTGCTGCTGCACCTCCTCGCGGGCGCGCTTGCGGCCGTTGCCCCGCCTCTTCTTCGTGGCCGTATTTTCTACTGCCGCCCCGTCGTCATTTGTTGCTGCTGGGCGCACGAGCAGCTGGCAGTGCCGCTGCGACGCAAACAGCAGATTCATGTCGAGCACGACGTCGTTGTCGGGGGCGCGGCCGACCGTAATGCGAGTGCCGTCCGTCGGCACGCGCAGCTCAATGCAACGCGGCAGCGTCACGGGCCCTCGCGTGAGCACCAACTCGGCGCGGAGACACTCCGTCATGCGAAGCCGCGCCGCCACGGGCTGGAAGGACGTAAACAGACCTCTAACTAACGCTCGGTAGGGGAGGGGGGAATAAGGACCGAAAGAGCACCCATTACCCCAGCAACAGGGAAGGCAGAGCAAGCGGCGCCACCAGCGCCAACAGCAACTGCACAAAAAAACCCGGTGTGGTAGACGGAGAGGAGGGATTCTTTCTTTTTTCTTCTTCTTCTTCTTCGAAAAATGAAGGCTGAGCGTTACATTGCAGTTCAGCTCCCACACACACACACTCTCTCTCTCTGTGTGCATATGTGTGCCGGTGCATGAATGGATACAAATCCATACCTGCATCTACTTCATTCACTCACTCACACCACTCGCGCCTCCGGCGAATTACATGTTCATAGACGTGGCGCCCCCACCGCGCTGCATCGGCGCGTACTTTGTGAAGCAGTGGTTGCGCGAGAACTGCCCATTGTACTGTGCTTTCTCGCATTCCTTACCGTACTCCATCGCGGTGGTGGCGTAGAGCGGGTGGTGCCCCGCCCCGCCATGCACCAGCGTGCGGCTGCGGCGCGTGCCGGTGCGCAGCGCGCTTGCTGTTGCTGCTGCCTCCTCCTCCAGCACGTTGCACTTCGGCCGGTCGAGCGAGAAGCTGCGGATGCAGCGCAACTCGAAGTCGGCGTCGCGCGGCGTCGTACAGGAGATGCCGACGTAATATGCCGCGAGCTCGTCCGTCGCAATGCCACCGTCGTGCTGGGCCTCCTCGAAGTCGACGAGGAACTCGTCGATCAGAGCATGCGGGTCACGCTGCGTCAGGGCGAGCGGGTGCCGCATCACGTCGTACTGCTGCAGCAACGCGTCGAACGGGATGAAGCCGCACGCCGCGGGGTCGGCTTTCTTCAGCACGAGCCGCACGACGTGCTGCCGCCGCGGCGACAGCGTTGGGAGGAACGCCCGCACGAACGCCGCGGTGTCAAATGGATTGTTGTCGTTAGCCTCATTGCCATCGCCCTTGCTGCTACCACCCCCACTGTTGTTGCTGTTGCTGCTTCCACCTTTGCTCGGCGCGAAGGTCGCGACGAGTGCGGCGAAGTTGGCGTCGTCGAGGTACAGTCGGATGCGGCGCAGCGCCTCACGCACGCCGGTGACGGTGCGCTCCGCCTCGGGCAGTTGGCGCACGGCGCGCACGACGAGCCACACCTTCTTCCTGCCGAGCCGCTCCACCGCCTTCGCTACCAGGGCCTCCATGCACTCTACACGCTTCGGCAGTCACGAGCACACACACACACACAGAGCGAGAGCAGCGGCCGTGTGTGAGAGAGAGGGGGGAGGCACGAGAGAAGGTTTGGGGATGAGATGTGGGCAAGGAAAGAGGATCACAAATAAAAGAAAAGACAGCAGGGCGTCCATGTGAAGGTTATCCATAGTGTTTGGTTCACTTAAGGCGGTGTGGTGTATCTTTTCTTTTTTTTTTTCGTTTTTTTTCCACTCGTTACACTCGCTCATTCTCTCAATGTCTTCGTTCTGCCCACCCACCCCATCCTCCTCCGCCCTCTGGAGTGTGCGTGCAGGCCCGTCAGCTCTCCTTCCGCCCCACGTCGAGCGTCGGCAGGAAAGATAACTGCAGGACCACCAGCGCCGCGATGTAAAGGCCGTGGCCCAACAGTGGGGTGCCGCTAACCGCGCCGATGGCCGTCGCCACAATGCGCACCGCCGCGACAGCCATCCATGCACGTTTGCTGCTGTGGCCGCCGACGGCGTTGTTGCTGTTGTTATTATAATTATTGTTACCGTTTCTCCCACCACGGCCGTTGATGCGTCGCGCGGCGAGCAGCAGCCCAACAAGGCACGCAAAGGCCTCTGCGGCGGAGCAAAGGTTCGCCTCGTCGAAGGCGGGCCCGCCAATGACGCGGTACCAGCGGAACCAGCGGCAGAGCGCGACGTCGAGCGCGGCCCACAGCGACGCCACCACCGCGGTGGCGTCGTCACCGGCGTCGTGCACGTGCAGGACTTTGCGCGCCTGGGGGTTATTCAGCACGAAGTCCATGAGCGCACAGTCAATGACGGGCACCGCCACCACCGCGGCTACGTGCTGGAGCAGCAGCAGCGGCCCATCGAGGGACGCCAGCAGCGTCAACTCGGCAATCATGCACGATGAGATGATGGCGGCGAGCGCCATGAGGCGCCGAAACTCCACGTGGTGTCCCTTCGCGAGCAGGATGATGGGCAGCACCATCAGCGCGAAGATGGAGGCGTTGGAGAGTAGCCCCATCCACGTGGCGTCTCTCTGTTTGCTTTGCCAAGTCACCTGCGCACAGATGCCGACAAGCGAGGTAAGGCGTGTGTGCGAGAGAGGCATAAAGAGAGGCACGAGAAGAGAGAAAAAAAAGAAAGAAAATGAATGAATGAATGCGTGTGAGAGAGAGAGAGAGTGAGGACAGGAGGCAAAAGGCAGAGGGACGTGCGCGGCAGGCCGTGTGGGGGCGTGAGTGGTTTCTCTGTACCACTGTTGCTGCTGCTGATGCACCGTGAAGCACACAGAAGGCGCGCACACACACACATAGCCACCCCAGCAGAACGCACTCCAAAGGAGGAGTACATTAGAAACAAAAACAGATGGGAAGAGGCTGAGGAAGAGCTATACAATGGAATTTCCCACAACTGATACGTTTGCGGCGAGCTGCCGTACCACTTCGCGTACGGTACTGAGGTTGTACGCTGAGGTGGTGCCGAGAAAAAGAAAGGCGCACCCCTCGCAGCACACCGCCACTGCCACGTGCAGAGACGCAACGTCCTCGCGGGACTCACACGACGACGAGCGCCTCAACATCAGCAGTGGTTCAGGCGACGGCGGCATTGACGACGATGATACTGGTGCTGCCGCCGCTGCCTCACCACCACCACCACCTCCTCCTCCTGCTGCTGCTGCTGTCGTCACCGCCACCGGTGGTGGCAATGGCGGTGACGGCAGCAGCAGCGGTGGCGTGCCGCGGTAGTGGGCAAAGGGGTTAATGTTCCCAACCTCCTCGTCCAGCGCGACCGACTCCGCGTCGCTGGCGTTATCATCATACACCTGCTCGTAATGCAGCTCCAGCGCCACGCGTGCGCCGAACGTGGTGGACTCCCAGTGCAGCACATTCACGCGGTCCGGCAGGAGCGAAAGGTAGTTCTGCACCATTTTCTCCAGCCGCGTGGTGGAGCGGCGCCGCGACTGCGGCGAGGCGAGCGGCGCCGTCGGGCATGGGAACACGCGCAACAGCACTGACACCCGCTCGAGGCCGCCGATGTGAATCACAGCCAGCGGATCGCCAATCGGCGGCTCCTCCACCACCACCACCACCGGCGCTATCGGCGCTGCTGCCGCTGCTGCTGCTCTCACGGGGTCGAGGAGGATGTGGAACGGCAGCACCTCGTGCCGCACGTTGCAGTAGATGAGCGACGTGTTCTGGCCGAAGTGGTTGCCCACCGACACCGTGTCGAGCGTGCGGCGGCAGAAGGTGATGAACTCCTCCAGCGTGTGCCGTGTGATGGAGGAGAGAAAACTGAATGAAACACACTCATCGCGGATGCGCAGGCAGAAGAGGCTCAGGTACGCTGCCACGGCACCTGCCTCGTCCCCGGGCTCCACCTCGTCACTCTCTGCCTTCTCTGACCGTTGATGCTGCTGCTGCCGCATGTCACGCAGGAATGGGGCGCATGGGCTGTTGGGGTCGAGCACAACCTCCTGCACACAGAAGGCACCGTCAAGCAGCAGCGTCTCGCTCGCATCGCCATCATCGTCGTCAACGGCACCGTCGCCGCTGACCGGCACAGTGAGCTTCTGGGGCCGCACGACAAAGGTGCCACGCTTGTCGTACAGCTCACGCGGCGGCACCTCCGCGCACCAGGCAACGGTAAGTGGCGCCTTCTGCACCACGGCGAAGCGCATCAGTGTGGCGCGCAGTTGATGCTCGAAGAGCGCCTGCCACGACACCCGCCCACGCGCGAGCGGTTCGTAACACGCCACGACAACCATGCGCCGCAACCCGTTCCCGGTCAACGCCGCGAAGGGCGCACTGGCGCCGTGGCCACTGGTGCTGCCGCTACGACTAAAATTGATGCTGCTGTTGTGGTCGCCGGCGCCGTCCTGCGGCAGCCGCAGTGACCGAAGTCCGAGCGGTCGCCCAAATGACGGCAGTGCCGGCACACTGGTGGTGTTGCCGCTCCTGCCGTAGTTGCTGCTGTAATAGCAACCGCGGGCCTCCTCACCGACGCCCCCACCACCACCACCACCACCACCCGCTGCTGCTGTTGCCGTAGTTGCCGGGTCGTCACACGCCATCATTCTCTCGTGCAGCTCATCATCCATGGCGAAGTCGATCGGTAGGCGGAAGCCGAGTCCAAGCCGCGGCTCTGTGCAGAGCAAGTACGACGGCGTCGACCGCGATGGCGCAAATTGGATCGAGCGCACGAGTTCATTAAACGCCGTCGGCAGCACACCCTTCACGCGTGTGTCGGCGACGTACTGCGCCGTCACGGCGAGCCGTGCGTTGGTGAGGAAGACGGAGAGGACGTAGCGCAGCCTGTTGCCGGCGTCCACGTAGCAGTACTCCGCGCACGGGTGCGACGCGCTGCCGATACGTGTGCTGCTGCACGACAGCAGCTTCGCGCAGTCGCGTATGCGTGCGAGGCTGTTGTCGCGGTACTCCTCCGCCGTCTCGGCGGTGGGGCACTCCTCGAAGATGACCGCCACGTGGTGCTCCGGCTGCCGCAGGTAGCGCAGGCCGACGAGCACCAGCGGCGCCTGTCGCTGCTCCGTCTCGACGGCAAAGAGAATCGGGGAGAAGAGCATGCGCACGCCCATCACGTCGTCGCGCCACTCGATGGCGTTGGCGCTGTGCCGACTCACATGCCGCTCCGCCCGCACCGCATAGTACGACTTGTAGCCAGCATGGGCCGCAGCGTCCTTGGCGGCGGTGTTGTTGTTGCCGCTCATCGTGGACGCGCCACCACCACCACCACCACCAGCAGCAGCAGCAGCAGCAGCGCTGCTCTGCAACGGCTGCCGCTCATCCGACGGTCGCAGTCCCCGCAGCGACGGGTGGTGATTCGGCGTGTACGTCTCACTCGTGCGCCGCTTGTTCGAGATGTACGTGACGGCGGAGAGCACCACGGCGAAGCTGGCAAGGAGCGCCGTGAAGCCGATGCTACCAGCTGACATCACCGGCCCGCCCCCCTCGCCCATTTAAGCACGCGGCCTGTGTGTTGCGATCACAAGTATGACGTATATACAGACAAATATATATATATATGTGATCAGCGCGCGTGTATGGATGTCGTGCACCCACAGCCACCCTAGACACAGACGGTCTCCCTCGATAGATGCCTTCAATACCTTACCTCCGCCAACGCCACACACAAGGAGAGAAGGGCACAGCTGTGGATGCATACAGAAGTTTCGGCAGCTGCACGCCTGGCGTCGGAGCCGCTTGCACACACACACACAGACTAGGATTACAAAGAGAGGAACGAAGACATGCACCTATTTTGTTTTCTCAACTAGTCAGCTTATTTCCCGAGAAGCACCTTAGACGATACGTTCGGAGCTCAGGTGCGTTCTCCCACCCGCGCCGCCTAGTCGTCCTCCACCACCTCCAATGCGTCACCGC